GCCTACACACTGGAGCTTTTCTCTGCTCAAGGCAAGTGTTCTGTCACTTGAACCAGAGCACCACTTCCAGCTTTTCCTGTTTATGTGGTACTAAGGATTCAAACACAGGGCTTCATGATTGCTAGGCAAACACTCTACCACTAAACCACATTCCCAGCCCCAAGATAAACATTTCTTATCAGCATGTAATTGGTATTTTCTCATTGCATAGATTATCTTTTTATTTTCTTTTCCTTTTAACATTTTTTGATTTTTTTTTTTTTTGAGACAAGGTCTCAGTATGTAGCCCAGGCTATCTTTGAACTCAGACTATTTCTGCCTTTACCTATTGTTTTGTTTTGTTTTTGGTTGGTTGTGGGGCTTGAACTCTGCTTCTGGGTGCTGTCCCTCAGCTCTTCAGCTCAAGGAATGTGCTCTGCCACCTGAGCCACAGTGCCACTTCCAGTTTTCTGTTGGTTTATTGGAGATAAGAGTCTCACGGACTTTCCTGCCCTGGATGGCTTTGAACTATAATCCTCATCTCTCAGCCCCAGAGTAGCTTGGATTATAGGTGTGAGCCAGAGGTGCCTGGCCTACCTCTTTACCTCTTTAGTGCTAGATTACAGGCATGTACATCATGCTCTGCTTTCTTTTACTTTATTGTTGCTGTATTTTAATGCACAGAAATTTATAATTTTCATGGTGTAATTTACACTTTCTTTTTTCTTCTTGCACTTTTTTGGTATCATATCTAAGAAATTATTTCCACATCCAGGATCATCTTGTGTTCTTTTGAGAGTTTTAAATGGTTTTTTTGACTGTGTAATATTTTCAGCTATATAATTCATAGTGATATGGTTGTTTTCTTTTTAAGCTAGATCCTGTCTAATTTATATAACATTGGTTAGATGCCTCTGTATAGCCGTTTGTTACAAATGTTATCTGTTATTTCACCTTTTTGGTCTTTTTTTTTACTAGCTTAGCTCTTGTCATGCAGTACTTTCAACTCAACTTGCTGATGCCATGATGTTCCCCATTACCCAGTTTAAAGAAAGAGATCTGAAAGGTACTGAAGTCACACTTATATTTACTTTCATCAGCTTTCACATATTCTTGTTCAAACTATTTTGACTATAACCTGTATCACTTTTAATCAGTCACCAACATTCATAGCACCAGATCATTACTGAACTAGATCTTCCCTTGAGGAATGGTAGAGAAGGGCATGGGTCAACACACAATTCTGACACTCTGTCTTATAATCAGGGAATGAGAAGATGCTGTAGGGGCTTAGAAGGTCAAAAAGGCTTCACCAAAGATATGATACGAACATTGAACTATAAAGAGCAATTAGGGAGACTAGAATGCATGGAGGTATGGGTTGTAGAGATTCATAACTTACTTTTGGAATTACAAGAAATTTAGTGAGGCTGCAGTGTTGAATATGTTGGGGTGAGGCAGGAGATGAATTTAGAAATATATTAAATGAAGCTAAAGATGTTGGACTTGTATTTATTTTCAAAGACAATACAATGAAGGTCTATAAGAAGTAAAGAGACAAAATATTTTGGTGGGTGGAATAGAGTGGATTTGATGTCTAGAAGATTGGTGTAGGAAGTTATGAGAGCTCAGTCAGGTATTACCAAGGTTTGAACTACGATAGTGACCAAGTAGACACTAATATGAGCTAGAGTGGCAGGAGGGTAGGGATGCTGGTATATCTAACAGTCTATGACTTAGTAGTTTGTACATTTTTTTGGCACATGTAGGGTTACTAGCTGATAAAATGAAACTTTCATATACTTGATTTATTTCTCATAATTTATAAACTCAGTCATACAGACTTTTCAGTATCTATAGTATAAAAGCATTGAAGTAGCATCTAAGTGAGTTGTTAAAGTATTTAAATTACAATACAATAAAGACAATTGTAGTTTAAAGTTGGAGTTAATAATTGTGATGATCTTCAAGAGCTATCATTTCTGAAGTCTAAAAACTATTCTAAAGAATAGTTTTTTTTCACAGTTTTAAGACTAGGATTGCATAGTGTAAATATTTACTTTGTTATTACAATCATCAAAAAATGAATTACCAGATTCTGGTAGTCAGAATATTTGCATACCTTAATGCTTATAATGGAGTTTAAGACGTGTGAGTCATATTAATAATTTGTAATAATTAGATTTTCTTGTGATTTGTTGCTAATGATAGTAAATCTTCCATGTACTAACAGAAATAGTAACTTTTTGCCTTGAATATAGATGTGCAAACTGTTCTTTAGAGTTTTGTTTACATGACATTGATGGCTTTATAAACAGACTTAAGATACTTTACACATACACTAAACTGAAATTATTTTTGGAACTTTTTCAGAAATATTGACTTTAAAAGAAGTGTTTCAGATTGCTAGTAATGGTAAGCTTTGAATACTTTACACTATTTTTTTTATGTGTGATGCATTTGTTAGTGTACATCATTGGTGATTCTTTGCAATAATTATTAAAAAGGATCTAATTAAAAGTTTTAGTGAATATTTTTTAAATCAGTGTTGTTACTTGAATAGCAGTTTACAAGAAAAAATTTAAAGCTAGCTATATCAGTCTTATAATTTACTATCTACATAATTTCTAAGGAGGTGTTATAGTATTTTACCTTGTTTTTCTAAATATTTCATCTCCCTCCCTCCCTCCCTCCCTCTCCCTCTCCCTCTCCCTCTCCCTCTCCTTCTCCCTTTCTCTCTCTCTGGTGGTTCTGAGCTTCAATTCAGGGTCTAATGCATTCTAGGCAAATGATCTACCTCTGAGCTCACGGCCCTTCCTATTTTTCTTTTATGAACATTTGCTTTTTTAAAGACAGACCATATATGTCTATATCTTACCAGTACTTAGGCTTTAACTCAGGGTCTTGCTCTCTGGCTTTTCTGTTCAAGACTGATGTTCTACCACTTGAGCCATAGCTCTACTTCTAGCTTTTAATTGGTTATCTGGAGACAAGGGTGTCATAGACTTTTCTGCTTTTGCATGGTGATTCTCAGATCTCAGCCTCCTGAGTAGCTAGGGTTATAAGTGTTAGCCATCATTGCCTGCAGACTAAAAATAAGTTAAACATTAGTTATAGTAGGGCTGGGAAGGTGTCTCAGTGGTAGAGCGCTTGCCTTGCATGCCTGAGTCCCTGGGTTCGATTCCTCAGCACCACATAAGCAAAAAGAAAAAAGCCGGAAGTGGGGCTGTGGCTCAAGTGGTAGAGCGCTAGCCTTGAGCAGAAGAGCTGAGGGACAGCGCCCAGGCCCAGAGTTCAGGCCCCATGACCGGACCCCCCAAAAAAATTAGTTATAGTTTTTCAGATTCTTTTTTTCCCCTCTTTTTATGAGTTTGAGTAAATAGACACATAATTTAGGCTGTGGGAATAATTTGAATACAGAGATCACAGGATAGGGAATACTTAACTTTTCTATTGTACATTTGCAGAAAGATGAATATGTAAAAACCCTTTAAAGCATTTGTAAGTTTTGCAAAGTGCTACAATTGTTAACACTCATTTCTGCCTTCCAGATCATGATGCTGCAATTAACAGATATAGCCGATTGTCCAAAAAAAGAGAAAATGACAAGGTGTGATACATACCTACTCCTTCAGTATCACAATTAATTGTTATTTTATTAGGTGGTTTAGTTTTCCTGTTTAAAAATAAATCCAAAAGCTAATTTATATGTTTTTCTTTTAGATAATTCTTTTCTGCTAGATGTTTAGAAGTTTTCTGATAATTGTTGGTCACTTTAAACAAATACTTTTATTCTGCCAAAATTGAATAGATTATGATTAAACATAACTACTCTAAAATTATAGTTGATGTTCAGAAGTAACACTGCTTCTTTTACTTTGTATTTTCATAGCAAAGCACATGTTCTGTTCTTATTTGACCTATATAAGTACTAAGAAATGTCTTGTGAGACTCAGTAGTCAAGAAGTTGAACTGTTGTACACATAACTTAATGACATCCTGTTATTAAGCCTTCATTTACAGGGACTATTTGCTTTTGATTCTAAGGCAGCAAACTCAGAAATAGTATACTGTATATATGAAGAAGAAAGCATTTAAGTAAAGATGAGAGAGAATATTGACAAATTTTCTGGGTGCTCTTTAAGACCAGTCCTTTCTCTAATGCCTAATCTAAGATTTGAACATGTAGGCATTTCTAGATGCTTGAAATTGAGAACATCTCTACCTCAGATTTGGTATTTATTGCTACTATAGCTGCTGGAGGAGATACAATGACTGCTTGTGATAATCCGTGATTGAGTATGGTGTACTGTGCCACACCAGCTAAGACAACACAGATAATGTTTCTCATACAAAGTTCAGTCCACAAATCTTTCCAGTTCATTTTTTTTTGTGTGTTCATGGGACTTGAACTCAGGGCCCACGGTGCTGTCCTTGAGCTTTTTTGCTCAAGTTATAACACTCTTATCACTTGAGTTACAGCTCCACTTCCAGCTTTTTGCTGGTTAATTGGAGATAGTCTTATGACTGGCTTGGAACTTCGATCCTTAAATCTCAGTCTCCTGAGCAGCTAGGAGTATAGACATGAATCACCAGCACCTGGCACAAGTTCAGATTTTAGTTGTTGAATTTGGTGATTCAAATACAGATAAAATCCATGTATTTTAAGATTTACAATAGTTATTTTGTCATATAGAAATAGTTTAGGCTCTAGGTTTGCTTCTGACTGTTGCAAGAATTAAAAAAAAATTCTTTGACAGATTTGTATTTGAACCACAGCACCACTTCCATCTTTTTTTGTGTGATTAATTGGAGCTAAGAGTGTCAAAGACTTTCCTGCCCGGGCTGGCTTTGAGATCTTAGCCTCCTGAGTAGTGAGGATTATAGGTGTGAGCTACCAGCATCTAGCTTTTGACAGATTTTGTGTGTGTGTGTGTGTGTGTGTCTGTGTGTGTCTGCCTGCCTCCTGAGTAGTGAGGATTATAGGCGTGAGCTACCAGCATCTAGCTTTTGACAGAGAGTGTGTGTGTGTGTGTGTGTGTGTGTGTGTGTGTGTGTGTGTGTCCTGAACTCTGGGCCTGGGTGCTATCCTTCAGCTTCCTTCAGTGTCTTTTGCTCAAGGATAGTGCTCTACCATTTGAGACATAGCACCACTTTTGTCTTTTTCTAAGTAGTTTATTGGAGGTAAGGGTCTCAGGGACTTTCCTGCTTTGAACTTCAATCCTCAGATCTTAGTCTCCTCAGTAGCTAGGATTATAGGTGTGAATCATCAGTGCCTAGCTTGAAAAATGTTTTAATTTCAAAACTTGATTGGGCATTTACTATATCACATAGAAGGAGGCCTTGGGGAAAGTGAGTAGACTTTGCGTTTCTCCTCAAGATATGGACTCTCCACATTTATTGAAGGTATTTATGTGAACATATATGACTGGTCTATGGGCCATTTTCAAAGGATGAAGAAGCAGCCTCGATCACCATGAGTTAAATTCAGTCATAGAGGTTTTACTAAAATTACAAGAGTACAGGGAGAACTTTGGTAAGTTGGAAAGGCTTATAATTTTGAGTTGACATTTGGGTTGAGATAAGTAGACACTGCTGTTTGGGGATTAGAGATTGGGCATTAAAAAAATTAATTATCTTGCTGGGTACTGGTGGCTCAATCCTCTAATCCTAACTGCTCAGGAGGCTGAGATCTGAGGATCACCCTTTGAAGCCAGCCCAGACTGTGTTTGAAGTGAAAGGCAGAAATGACAGTAATTAATATGGGACTATATTGATGACTTTGAAATTTGTATTAGAAAGTATTAGCAGACACCAAAGGATTCCAAGTAGGTAAGTATACTATATGGTTTTACTATAGAGCAACAGTAATGAAAATGTGAAGAGACCAAGACTTAAACAGTCCAATGCAAAGTTACTGAAATAGTTTTCAGAGATACTTGAAAGTCTCAGCAAAAATTGTTAAAGAGGGATACTTTGACAGTTAGTTTGTAAGAAGAATTGAAGTCTATAGTAAGAAGGGGAATAAAAAACAAGTCAAAATTATTTGAATGACTGAGGGATCCTGGAATAATTAAGAGGTAAGAAAAAAAGTAGAACAAGGTTTTGTGAGGAAGATACTGTCTTCTGTTTTCTACATTTCCATCACACATGCACAAACACACAATATACACAGAAATACATAAAGAACCCAGCTGTTTCCTATGGCACTTGTGAGAATGAGGGGCAGAAGATAAAAAAAATTGGCACTACTGAATCATTGATGTATTGGCATAGTCTTGGTTCTTAATCAGGTATTATGAAGAAAGGAAGAAAAGAGCCTAGTGAATATTACTTATTTTTTGCTCATTGAAAATTGGTGGTTTGAATGAAAGAAGTTAGGAGAGCATAAGTATTTCAAGTGTGAGTGAATAAAGACAAGCAAATAGAAAAGAGGGAGAGTACTAGGAAGAGAACCAGGAGTGGAAAATACTGTGGACTGATTGAGGCCAGTGACTAACATTTGCCTTTCTTCCATGTGGTATATTTTCTCTGCCATGCTTGGTTAAGATAGTTATATTTGTGGTTATGTGTGTAAATAGTTTGTTGATGATGTGGTTGTTAGATGGGAAAGTCAGCTTAAGCAGTATAATAAAGGATTTGTAATAGCTCAGGAAACAGGACTGTTATGTTCAGAAATTAATGATATGGCATTTTCCTAGGGAGGCTTTTCCCTACAGGTGAAGAGACTTTAGAATTCAACAATTAATAGTATTTAAATTTTTTCATTCAAAGATGAAATATGAAGTAACAGAAGATGTGTACACTTCCAGAAAGAAACAACACCAGACCATGATGCATTATTTTTGTGCATTAAATACTCTTCAATACAAGAAGAAAATAGCATTGTTAGAACCTCTACTTGGGTATATGCAAGCTCAGGTAAGTACTGTGTTTTGAGTTAAAACCATCTTAAAATAAATCTCTTAGAGTAAGCTTTGAATTTACAGTTGATGCAAAGACACTACAGCCTTGTCAATAAACATTTATATCTTGGTTTTAATTAGTAATTTAAAAATGTTATTATTGTATTATTTTAAGGTTTATAAAAGTGATTTATTTTGTAAATGAAAATTTCAAATGTTTTAGAGTAAATGAAATATAAATACATTGTATTTAGACTTTGTTTACTATAGTTGGGGATAGACAATAGAAAGCTAAACGATTTTGAGAGCTACATTTGTTGTGGAAACTTTTTCACTCTCTTTTTTGTGCCTGTCCTGGGGCTTGAATTCAGGCCTTGGGTGCTATCCTTAGCTTTTTTGCTCAAGGCTGGAACTCTACAACTTGAGCCATAGCTCCACTTCTAGGTTTTTTTTTTTTTTTTTTTTAGGTGGGTGGAGTAGTTAATTGGAAACAAGAGTCTCACAGACTTTCCTATCCAGGCTGGCTTTGAACCTAAATCCTCATGAGTAGCAAGGGTTACAGGAGTGGGACTGGCACTCAGAAAGGGCCTGGCGTTCATACTTATCTTTCTTGCTGAAGGCCTGAGCTCTACCACATGCGCTTTACTTCTGGATTTTTTTTATTATTTAACTGGAGAGTCTTATGGACTTTTCTGTCTGGTGTGGTTTTGAACTAGGCCCTTCAGATCTCAGCCTCCTGAACCAGAATTACAATTAAATGAGTCACCAGCACTGAGCTCATTCTTCATAATAAGTCTGAAAGAGAATGAACAAGTTTAACTTGTTTCATGTTCCCTGTGTATATTATAAGTTAAAATATAGATGAGGGCTGTGAATGTGGCTTAGTGGTAAAGTGATTGCCTAGCATGCATGAAGCTCTGGGTTCGATGTTCAGTACTGCATAAACAGAAAAAGCTAGATGTGGCGCTATGGCTCAAGTGGTAGAGTACTAGCCTTGAGAGCAAAATAAACTTAGGGACAGTACTCAGGTCTTGAGTTCAAGCCCTAGGACTGACAAAAAAACCCCAAGCAAACAAAACGACAACAACTATATATCTATAGATAGTTAGATGAATTCAAGCAACCAAAAAGAAACATATGAAGGAGGCCAGAACACCAAGTTTTGGGTAATATATCAGTTCCTTAAAAATCTGGAGTTGAGAGAAATTTGAATATTCCTTTAGGTATAAGAGTATTTAAAGGCCAAGTATGGTGGCACACAGTAGCAATCCCAGCGTTTGGGAAGTTCCAGATTGGAGGTGACCTGGGTTATATGGCAAAACTCAGAAAGCAAGCCAAACAAAATAATATGTCAGGGTGGAAAGTGGAATTTAATTCTAGTTTTCTCAGTGGCTGCATGCCCAGTAGATAGTGCAGATTTGCAACCTATCATTACACAAATTGAATAATACCTTTTTTTTTTTAAAAAAAAAACTTTGTATCGTAGAGTGTTTCTACTTTAAACATTTTTTGTGTGTACATTTGTGTTTATGTTGTTAAACCTTCCATTCCTCCTCCATCCCAGATAAGTTTCTTTAAGATGGGTTCTGAAAATCTCAGTGAACAATTAGAAGAATTTTTAGCTAATATTGGAACAAGTGTACAGAAGTAAGTATTTTTTCCTTAACCTTGAAAATGAAATGATAGGAATTAGTTAATAGATAAATGCTATGGTTTAAAGAAATTTACTGCTGTGATCTTGAGACAGTATTTCCCATCAAGAGGGTGATCCTTATTCTTTTATGTTACTTCTTGTTTTATTTCTGCCTTTTTTCCCCTCTAGTGTAAACTTTGATTGCCATTTTCTCTTATGGCAATTGTAATGATTGAGAGCTAGCTTTTATTTCTGAGTAAAACAGACTAATAATAGTAATTAAGTGAAATCATCTTAAACTCTTAAATGGTGGGAGTGGCTTGAGAGGTTGATACCCTGGGCTTGGGTGCTGTCCCTCAGCTCTTCAGCTCAAGGCTAGTGCTCTACCACTTGAGCCACAATACCACTTCCCCTTTTCTGGTGGTTTATTGGAGACAAGAGTGTCACAGACTTTCTTGCCTGGGCTTGCTTTGAACCACGATCCTCAGATCTCAGGTTCCTCCTGAGTAGCTAGGATTACAGGTGTGAGCCACTGGTGCCTACTGATAAATCTTGTTTTCTAAGAGAGATTAATTTTTCTATTTTAATTAAAATTTTTTTTTTTGTGATGCTGGGGATTGAACCCAGGGCCGAATCAGTATAAAAATTCAGCACAGTATAAAAATTCTTCTACATACAGGCATTATTATGGGTGGTTTCATTAATTTTTAAATTTTTTATTTCTAAAATATTGAAATATTTAATTTTATAACTGTTAATTTTCCATTCAAATTTAAAGTTATTTACAATATATTTGTATTATTTTAATCACCTATAGTACAGCTTTTCTCTTTAAGAAAATATATACAAGACAAATAACATGGTTGGTAAGGAATTCTTCATTGATTGTGACTGGTAGTAAATAATCTGTTCTCTATATTAGTGTTCGCAGGGAAATGGACAGTGATGTAGAGACCATGCAACAGACAATAGAGGACTTGGAAATAGCCAGTGACCCTTTATATGTGCCTGACCCAGACCCCACCAAATTTCCTGTTAATCGAAATTTAACCCGAAAGGCTGGATACCTTAATGCTAGGAAGTAAGAAAAGTATTGATATTTTTATATATTGTTTATCGTTTAAGGTAATGCCAAATGCATGTAAAATATAACTGATACTGTATGCTAAATTACTTTGATTTTACTAAAGATTGAAGTTGATGTTACTGTTTATGTGAACATGTAGAGAGAAAAGTATGTGCATACTTTTCAAAGAAAAGTCTACTTCCATAACTTTTGAATAATTTAGAATTATAAAATAACAAAACCAGTTTGACTTTAAATAAATCTTATCGTAGCCAGATACTCACATCTATAATCCTAGCTACTCAGGAGGTTGAGATCTGAGGATCATGGTTTGAAGCCAACTCAGCAGAAAAGTCTGTGAGACTCATTTCTAATTAACTAGTACAAAGCCAGAAGTGGAGACTTGGCTCAAGTAGTAGAGAGCCAGCCTTGAGCGAAGAAGCCAAGAGAGAACATAAGTACCTGAGTTCAATCTCTAGTACCAGCACACACATATAAAAATCATGTAACATGTAAATGTTATTAAATATATTTTATATACTTTAAAATACATGTAATTATATCAAGTGAAATTTTTATTTTTATTTATAGAAAGCCTAGCTTCTCCTCTTTACCTCCCCTCTTTTTCCTTCTTCTACCTTTTCTTTTGCATGGTGTAGGGGATTGAATTCAGGCCTTTGTGCATACTAGTGGACAAATGCTCTACCATTGAGCTACGTGATCCTCCACTTGATGATAAAAACAGTTTTGCCGGTGGCTCACTCCTATAATCCTAGTTATTAAGGAGGCTGAGATCTGAGGATCACAGTTCAAAGCCAGCCTGTGCAGGAAAGTCTGTGAAACTCTTTATCTCCAATAAACCTCCAGAAACTGGACGTGGCGCTGTGGCTCAAGAGGTAGAGTACTGGTCTTGAGCTGAAGAGCTTAGAGACAGCACCCAGATCCAGAGTTCAAGCCCCATTATCATCTAAAAACAAACAGTAAAAACAAGTTTGCCTTAGGAATAAACTAAATTATTTTGTTTTGAATTTACTCCTTTGTAGTTCATGGTGTACCATTGAAACAACTGTAGTTCAATAATTTCCAGCTTTGTTTTTGAAACTGCATACACATTTTGCACATGTGAGTCAACATACATAGAGGCTGAAAAACTTAATGTTTACATTTTATTGGCATTTTGGTGCCTTTTTTCATGGCTCAGTTCTTTGTATCATGCTTTATCTTGTGTCTGGCTGATGATAAGGTAATCTTAGGTATGTCATTATTAAAGTGTTAATGTACTTTCTTCATTTAGTAAAACAGGCTTGGTGTCATCTACCTGGGATAGACAGTTTTACTTCACGCAGGGTGGAAACTTAATGAGTCAAGCACGTGGAGATGTGGCAGGAGGCCTTGCCATGGACATAGACAACTGTTCAGTGATGGCTGTGGACTGTGAAGACAGGAGATACTGTTTTCAGATCACTTCTTTTGATGGAAAAAAGTTAGTATTTTTTTCTACCAATAATAAAATTTGTGATATTTAAACTACTAAAATGTATGAGAAGCCATACGTGGCAATGGCTCTTGCCTGTTAAATACTAGCTACTCAGGAGGCTAAGATCTGAGGATTGCGGTTCAGAGCCAGCCTGGATAGGAAAGCCTGTGAGACTCTTTATCTCCCATTAACTACTGGCCACTGAAAATCTTGTATAATATGTGGAAGCCAAAACAAGTTAATATAAGTCTGTCAACTTTGGGCCTGTGAAATTCAAACTGTAGCTCAGTTATTTATCTTTGTCATATCCTTATCATATTCATTTTTCTAAATGTAAAAATACAGGTAGAAGAGCTGTAAATTTCTTAAAATAGAAGTCTTAACATTTGCAATGTGCCTGCCATATAACAGACACTAACAGTAGTGTTATTTTTAAATGTTAAATGCTTGTGCTTAATTTTGTCCATTAGTGAATATAAAATGTTTGTAAAACTCAAATACCTTTACATTAAATGAGAACCTATAGTGCTTAGAAACCATTTTTGGAAAGCATATATATAAGAAGTACGAAAAAATCCACTCATAACTTTATAAACCAGAAGCAACATGAATTTTTTGTTTATTGTCTTCCAGGGTTTATCCTGAATTAATTTACCTCTCTTCCCCCCTTTTCTCTTCCGCTCTTTCTCTTTGTCTTTTTGTGATACTGGGCCTTGGCATTCAGGATTCTGGGCAAGTACTCTCACACTAAACTAAGTCCCCAGCCCTTAAAAAAAAGCCTTTCACTGGCCATGTGTCAGTGGCTCATGCCTGTAATCCTAGATACCCAGGAGGCTGACATTGGGGAATCATAGTCCAAAGCCAACCCAGTCAGGAAAGCCCATGAAACTTTTATCTCCAATTAACCACCAAAAAGCCCGTAGTAGAGCCGTGGCTCAATTGGTAGATCACTAACCTTGAAAAAAAGCGCCAAGGCTGTGAGTTCAAGCCCCAACACCAGCACAAAAAAATCATTTTACATTGAGAAAAGATTTTGAGGGCTGGAGAGGTGGCTCAGTGGTAGAGTGCTTGCCTTGCATGCAGGAGGCCCTGGGTTCAATTCCTCAGCACCATATAAGCAGAAAAAGCCGGAAGTGGTGCTGTAGCTTAAGTGGTAGAGTGCTAGCCTTGAGCTGAAGACCTGAGGGGCAGTGCCCAGGCCCAGAGTTCAGGCCCCACGACCGACAAAAAAAGAAAAAAAAAGAAAAAGAAAAAAGAAAGATTTTGATAAATTGTCTAGGCGACCTTCTAACTTGTGATTGTTTTGTTTCAGACTCTCCCTGTAATTAGGATTACATGGGGCTCAGAATGTGGCTTAGTGATAGAGTACTTGCCTAGCATGCATGAAGCCCTGGGTATAATTCCTCTTTACCACATAAACAAAGCTAGAAGTGGCACTGTGGCTTGTGTGGTAGAGTGCTAGCCTTGAGCAAAAGAAGCTCAGGAACCTGAGCTCAGCTCCAGACCCTGAATTCAAGCTCCAGAACTAGGCGGGGGGGGGGGGCGGGGAAGAAGGGGGGACAGGGAGAATTACAGGCAAGAGCCAACGCATTTGGCTTTAGTGCATTTTAAAAATAATTGAAGATATGTTATAATTTGGATCTACATCCACTTATTTGAAGCAATTTCAGCTGTGTGCCAGGGGCTTATTCTTGTAATCCTACCTACTTAGGAAGTAGAGATTGGGCAAATTGCAGTTTAAGACCAGGAGACCCCTATCAACAGAAGGTGGGCACTGTAGTGTGCTCTGGTCATTGCAGCTATGATAGAAGGTTTTTTGAAAAGGAGGATCAAGATCCAGGCCAGCATAGGGAAGTAAGAGAGAGACAATCTTAAAAACAGCCAGAGGAAAAAGGTCTGGAGGTGTGACCCAAGTGGTAGAAAACTAATAAAATTGAAATCCTAAGTTTAGTCCCTAGAACCTACAAAAAATTCCAGGCATGGTGACTCATATCTGTAATCCCAGCCACTCAGGAGAAGCACAATTCCTCCAGTTCTTGTAGGTTAAAAGTTAGTAAGACCATGTCTTATAATTCTGGCATGGGTGGCACATACCTCTGATTCCCTGCAGAAGATCCTGGTCTGAGGTTGTCCCTGGAAAAAACACAAGAAAATTAACACCTAAAGACCAAGAGTATCATTTAAGAGGTACAGAACCTGTGAAGCTCTGAGTGCACACCTCATTACTGCCTCCCTCCAAAGAACAAAAACAATTTCATTGGTTGCATTATAATCTTTTTAGACATACAGTATCATTTAAAGGTCTTCCTAATGATAAAGGTTATAGCTGTGATTTTTTTTTTTCTCTTCCACTTAGATTATTGATTCTGATGTTGGAACTTTCTTAATGTTTAGGAATAGCTTCTGGATTCCCTAAAAGTCATTTTTCCTTGTATATTCATGCACATTGAGATGCTATGGAAATAAATTAATTCAACTAACCTCTTTAAAAAAGATACCATGGCTCACTATCTTATATCAAATAGGTTGTTTCATTTTTTTTTTTACTTCTAAAAGCATAGTTGATGTCTGTATTGTATACTTAGTTATCATATCAAGTGTTGAGTCACTGTGTTCATTTAGCAAAATTACCAAGTTGTTAATACCAATGCTAACATTTTTGTATTTTTAGTTTTTGCTAATTCTTAATATGATTTCCTATTTTTATTTCTGGTGCAATACAAAATTAGCAAGACATTTGGCCTAACTTTAATAATATTGACATTTATAGAAAGGCAAATATCTGTTTAGTGAGTCATATATTGAAATTTTGATCTAACCCTATTGAAGGAGAAACTATCAACGATAAAGTTAGTATTTTCTAGTAGAATCACTGTCTATAAATATAAAAACATTGAGATGCATTGTTATAATTGAAGTGTACCTTCATGGTCTTTTTTTTTTTTGGTCGGTCGTGGGGCCTGAACTTGGCCTGGGTGCCATTCCTGAGCTCTTCAGCTGTAGCCTAGCGCTCTACCATTTGAGCCTCAACCCCACTTCCAGCTTTTTCTGCTTATGTGGTGCTGAGGAATCGAACCCAGGGCCTCATGCATGCAAGGCAAGCATTCTACCACTGAGCCACCTTCCCAGCCTGATGGTCTGTCTTTTTAAAACCATTTCCTGTTTCTATTTTGCTATGTGTTGGCATAGTTGGCCACTCTTAAGTTGTTAAAATCTTTGTCCTGATGTCTCTAGTGGTCTCCTTTTCCTAAGATAGTATTGGTTGTAGATTTTTTTTTACAGAGGGACAAGTATTAGAGTTTGAACTTAGACATTCCACCACTAGAGCCATGTCTTCAGCTTTGGTTGTGTTTGTTTGTTTTGTTTAGTTTATGGTTTTTCATTTTAAAAGTTGAGACTGAAATTCTTTTTTGTCCTCTAGATCTTCAATTTTGCAAGCAGAAAGTAAAAAGGACCATGAGGAGGTAAGATTTTATCTAGCTAATTTCTTTTTTTTTTTTGTTGGTCGTGGGGCCTGAGCTCTGGGCCTGGGCACTGTCCCTCAGCTCTTCAGCTCAAGGCTAGCGCTCTACCACTTGAGCCACAGTGCCACTTCTGGCTTTTTCTGCTTATGCGATGCTGAGGAATTGAACCCAGGGCCTCATGCATGCAAAGCAAGCACTCTACGACTGAGCCACCTTCCCAACCCTCTAACTAATTTCTTCAATGTTTAAAAATATTTTTCTGAGGATAAGACTATTGTAAGTTCATTATAGAAATTTTGGAAAAACCTTAATTAGAAAGTTTTCGGATCTGAAGCAACATTTCTCACAGAATTATAAAGCTGAAGAGACCTTAGAGATCATGTCCCTGCTACTTTAAAGGCTTAAATTCAGCAATGACCTTGTGATTGTTGTCTTCTGGCAGGCTTTTAATATCATGAGTTGACAGTTTAACTTACTCTCTTACTAATCATTTGAGACACTATTTGCTGCAGTAAGAACGTAGTGGCAGCAGTTGTGGCATAGCAAGAAGCAACTAAAACTTAAAATCCTGGGGAAATGAAAGAAAAGAGAAAAGCAAAAATCTGGGAGTCCCTGTTCTTTCTCATCAGCCTTTTAGTTTTGGCTCCATTTTTACTTCTAGTATACAAAATTTGGAAGGTAAGGCATTACCAAGAACTTATATCCCAAACTATGCTTTTAGAAATATTTGTCCATGAAAATAAGCCAAACTTGATTTTGAGCCTTCTTAATCTAGTATTATAATTGTATTGGTAAAAGAGAAAGTTGCAAATTATGCAGTGATCTACCTTTATTTAGTTCTCAAGGAAAAGAGTTAACATTAAAACTTGCTCTTGAGTGAGGAAGACAGACAAATGTTTCTGCTCTTTATGTACTTTACTAAAACAAAATACTAGTTTAGTGAGGCCCAAAATTTTAGTGAGGTACTAAAATTCTTGAGAATGAATCAGAAGATAGGGAACAGATAGCATGTTTTATGTGGGGTGTAAGTAATATACATTCATCAAGAAGGTACTTATTTCTTAATATTTTGAATTGATATTATAGTATCTGAGTTCAGACTGTGTTGTTTGGTAGGGATTAAGTAACGTAAAGATATAAATAAAGACATAATTTAACATGATTGCTATAGTTTTTATTTTCTGTGTGACATAAATGAGATTTTCAAGTCATAAATCTGAATGATCTCTTACATGTATGTTTATAGTATATTTTCTTGTTTTTTGTTTTGGTGCTAGAGATTGAAGCCAGGGCCTTACACATGCTAAACAAAGATGTGTTCTAAAACTATACACCTCTCCCCAAGTGATTTTTTTTTTTTTTTGGCCAGTTCTGGGGCTTGAATTCTGGGGCCTGGGTACTGTCCTTGAGCTTTTTTTTTTAAAAATTATTATTATGAAAATACCTACAGAGGAGTTACAATTACATGGGCAATATAATGAGTACATTTCTTATCAAGCATTATTGCCTCCTCCTTTGTTTCTCCTTCCCATCCCTTCCCATACTCCCCCTACCTCTTCTGATGTCAGCATCTTTGAGTAGCTAGGATTACAGGTCACTGACACCTGGCTCCCAAGTGATTTTTTAATAAGACAGATTATAGGTTACTCTGTGTGTGTGTGTGAATGGGGTGGGTGGGGGGGTGTCTGGGTATCTGGGACTTGAACTGAGGGCTTGGTGCTGTTCTTTAACCTTTTTGCTCAAAGCTATAGCACTATGTCTCTTGAGCCACAGCTTCACTTCTGACTTTTGTGGTTAATTGGAGATAAAAATGTCATAGACTTTCTTTCTGGGCTGGCTTTGAACCTTAATCCTCAGATCTCAGCCTCCAGGGTAGCTAGGATGACAGATGTGAGTCACCTGTATTGAGTAACATAAACTTTCTAATGGAACTTTGGTTTCAATTGAATACTAAACATTCTTTTTTCGAACATAAGCTATGTTGGAAAAATATTAATCATTTTTCTATTTTTCCCTCTTTCAGTGGATCTGTACAATAAACAACATATCTAAACAAATATACTTAAGTGAAAATCCAGAGGTAATATTTTTATTTTATGTTTCCTAGATCTAGCAGAATAATTTTGTGGTTTACATGGCTTTTGTTAAATTGAGCCATTTCTATAGTTCTGTAACCTTTTAATGTGATGCCAAATGGGTAGCTTTAATGTATCCTCTATGTTACAAATATCTGACCTTCATAGAACAATAAATTTGAGGAGTTAATGAAATTAGTGAGTCAACGAGTACTCACTAGATTTTGACAATAGATCTGTATTGGGTACAATGGAGAAGGGAAGAAAATGTGAAAGAAAAATAAGCCATGACTTTCTTCTGAACTCTTTTTTTTTTTTGGTCCGGTCGTGGGGCCTGAACTCTGGGCCTAGGCGCTGTCCCTCAGCTCTTCAGCTCAAGGCTAACGCTCTACCACTTGAGCCACAGCACTACTTCCGGCATTTTTCTTTTTTTGCTTATGGGGTGCTGAGGAATCGAACCCAGGGCCTCATGCATGCAAGGCAAGCACTCTACCACTGAGCCACCTTCCCAGCCCCATCTTCTGAACTCTTTTAAGAGTTGCTATTATGGTGAGACAAAAATAAAAGTTTAAGTAACATTGTATATAAAGCAGGATGTGAGAAATCAAATGGTAATGATTATTACCATTTGAGAATGGTGGACTTAGGCTTTACAGAAAATTCTGAAATAGGATTTCTTCGAGTTTTGAGGAAGAAAGATAAATGAAAGAACTAGTTGTAGTAATTTAAGAAGTTCTTGGTAGAAACGTTACATCTGTGATGATGTAGTCTGAACTCAGTTTTACAAATTATTCTTTGAGTAGCAAGAATTTCAAACCTGGTGAACTCAACACTGTAGACACTAACTATATGTGAAGTTCCAACACAGAACTTGGGAGTACCAAGGACTCTGAAAGGAATCAGTGAGTTCATACTGCAGAATTCTTGGGAAAAGGTGACTCTAGATTAGGATTTATCATAACCCTGTCACACTTGATGGGCTTGGCTATACTAGGTGGTTAGTTCCCAGGGCTGGGATGATGTCAGTTGAGGAAGGTAAATCTTAAAATTTGATTGATATGGGGCTGGGAAGGTGGCTCAGTGGCAGAGTACTTGCCTTGCATGCATGAGGCCCTGGGGCTGGGAAGGTGGCTCAGTGGTAGAGTGCTTGCCTTGCATGCCAGAGGCCCTGGGTCGATTCCTCAGCACCACAAAAGCAAAAAAGAAAAAAGCCTGAAGTGGCGCTATGGTTGAGCTAGCCTTGAGCTGAAGAGTTGAGGGACAGCGCCCAAGCCCAGAGTTCAGGCCCCACGACTGAACCCAAAAATAAATAAATAAACTAACCCATCATTTAAAAAAAAATTTGATATGATGTCAGATAAGATGAGAGGGCTACACAAGTTAGTAAATGACATAATAAAATTTGTAGGAGACAAATAAGGTAAAGATGACTTTCAAGTTTTAAACTCCAGTGAAGAGAGGAAAAATTTAGCAAAAGAATTCTATTTTTAACAAAATGGCCTTGAGGTACCAGTCAGGACACAAGGAGTTGGAGTCAAACAAATTTCATAATTTGTAAAGTAATAGCTTTATAACAAACTTAGGAATTTAATCTTAGAAAGTCAGTGCTAACAGTATGTAATTTGATCTGCCAAAATTTTTTTTCTTGTCGGTTTACTTGTGAGCAACCAAAAAAAAAAAAAGCAAATTAAATTATTTTATTGCCTAAGTAATACATATAGGGAATACAATGTTTAGATTTGAATAAGACTTGTAGTTCTTTACTACTAGTTAAAAGAGCTGTATTTAAGATTTTAAGATTACCCTTAATTATATTTCTATTAGGATAGCAATTTTGATCAAGTTGTGGCATTTATTTTTGCTGTTATAAGACACAGAAATGTAAAAGTGATATGTGTTGTTTTTTTCCCCTCTAATTTTTTATTGTGGTAAAAAAAAATTACAAAGTTTTGATGGGTGCAAATGGTTTACACTTATAATCCCAGCTCAGGAGGTTGAGATCTGAGAATTACAGTTTGAAGGTAGCCTGCGCAGGTAAGTCCATGAGTCCATGAGTTAACCAGCAAAAGGTCAGAAGTAGAGCTATGGATCTATTTTTGCTTGCCAGCCTTGAGTAAAAAACTGAGGGACAGCATGCAACCCCTGAGTTCAAGCCTTAGTACTGTCACACACACATACATACACACACACAAAATTACAAAGTTTACCTTCCTAGCTAATTTTTTTTTGGGGGGAGGGGGATGCAGTCCTGGGGCTGAGTCAGGATCTGAGTGCTGTTCTTGAGATCATTTGCTCAAGGCTAGTGCTCTTCCACTTGAACCACAGTTCCACTTCCAGTTTATTGGTGGTCATCCATAAGAGTCTCGTGGGGTTTCCTACCCAGGCAGGCTTTCAACCAGGATACTCAGATCTCAGCCTCTTTAGTAGATAGGATTACAGATATGAGCCACCATTGCCTGGCCTTTCTTAACAATTTTAAGTGGAGTACTAGTGTTAACTATATACACATGGAAACATTTCTAAGTACCATTTTTACAATAAGTCTAAAATATTCCTGTATAGAAAGCTTTAAAAGTATCCATAATTTTGTAAATAAACATGTAGGTGTTTCATAGTATATAGTTGGAAAGTTAAAATGATAACAACAAAATTATAAAATAATAATTCTAACATTGTATGACATTTCCTGCTTTTAACTTTTTTTCAAGAAATGTATTGACTGTCCAAGCTCCCTGACTCTAGCAATACAAAACTTAATCCCAAATTACTGGTAGTTAAAATTTTATAGAAAAACTCCAGCATTTTTCTATTATATATATTTGTAGAAAACAAACCTTTTCACCCTAACTTACAGGAAGCAAAAAGAAATGTCTATAATATGAAATTGAGTACTTTAATAGTAAGACAAGAGAACCTGGAGCTACACCAGTAGCTTCAGTTTGTATTTGTTTTTTAAAAACATAATTTTATTGTTAATATTAAGGTGTTGTACAGAGGGGTTACCATTCAGAAGTTGTCAGTTTTTGATTTCTTATATAATTAATTTTAATCCTTTTCATTAAAAAATCAAAATAGGAAACTGCTGCACGAGTAAATCAGTCAGCTCTGGAAGCTGTCACTCCCTCCCCATCCTTCCAGCAAAGGCATGAGAGCCTACGGCCAGCAGGGTGAGTTTACATGCTGTAAAGTTATTTAAAGAGCAACATGGGCTATTTAAAAGTATTAGGAGCACTTTGTTTCAGCAGTACTAGTTTAGTATTAAATAGTTATCTGAACAACATCAAAGCAAAATTTCAAAATGATAATGAAATTTCAAAATGATACCAGTAAAATTACAAAATAAATAATTTCAGTTTTTCCTTATATCTCTTGATAGGTTGAGATGATTTATGTTTTTTTAAAAATTTTATTGTCAAGGTGATGTACAGAGGGGTTACAGTTACAGAAGTAAGGTAGTGAGTATATGTTGAACTTGTTACTCCCTCATTTTTTCCCCACTTTTCCTCCTCCTACCTTCCCTCAGTTGTACAAATAAGATTTATATTTTTAATTGGAAAGAAAATTTGTCATTAAATAAAGCTAGGATTGGGATTATGTTTTTATTGAAATTTACTTTAGTCTCATTGACTGATTTCTAGGTTTTATTTATTTTTTTCACAGTTTAAGTGTTCAGTTTCAAAAACTAAATCCAGTGCCTTCTTGTTTTCCTTTGTTGTATAGACAGTCTCGGCCACCAACAGCTCGGACAAGCAGTTCAGGATCCATAGGATCTGAATCCATGAATTTGGCTGCCTTATCAATAGATTCTCTTGTGGCCCCAGACACCCCAATACAATTTGACATAATTTCTCCTGTGTGTGAAGATCAGCCTGGCCAAGCAAAAGCTTCTGGCCAGGGAGGCAAGTGAGTGATATATGGTGACTTTTTGCTGTGGTTTGTAACATTAAGGATGTATACTTCAGAGGCATCTTTTTCATGTCTTGTATATCAGCTGTGTGGTATAGTTTCTTTAGGTTAATTACCTATTAGTATTTTAATAGGGTTTTTCTCAGTCTTTTGCCTCAGAAAAGGACTTAGGATAATATAATTTCAAAAATATTTAATTCTAAATTACTTATCAGATCTGCTTGGGAATTTTATTTGACAATTGCATAAGAAAGTTGTTAATTTTTTTTTTAAACAGAGTCTAGGCTTGAACTCAGTGTTTCACACTCTTGTTAAGCTTGCTTATTACTAAGAGCTGATGCTCTACTTCTTGAGCAAACCCACTATCTTTGGCTTTCTTGTAGTTAATTGGCGATGGTGTCTCACAAAACTTTTCTACCAAGGCTGGTTTCAAACCTCAAGGCTGGTCTAGCCTCTGGAGTAGCTAGGATTATAGGCATGAGTCACGAGAGCCTGGTTCCTTTTTCCCTGTTACTTTATTTTATTTTTGACATAGAGCCTTGCTGTTATGTATGTAGCCCAAGAAGGTATCAAGATTTCCTGCCTCACTCTACTACTTGAGCCACAGTGCCATTTCCAGTTTTTTCTGTTTATTGGTGCTGAGGAATAGAATCCAGGGGTTCATGCATGCTAGGCAAGCACTGTACCAATAAGCCACATTCCCAGCCTCCAAAATAGGATATTCTTAAAAGAGAACTATTAAAAGAGCTATTGGGGCCTGAGAATGTGGCTTAATGGTAGAGTACTAGCCTTGAGCAAAAGAAGCTCAGGGACAGTGCCCAGGCCCTGAATGAATATCCTCCTTTGGTCTCACTGTGTAAAGTTTAGAGTTCCATATAATTTATACTGTCTAAGTGTAGTCTTTTTTTCTTTTACCATCCAGTGTGTTTACCTGTAGATTTATAGGCACATTCTAGTTGCAACAAATGAGGGAAATGTTTCTTTGGGTCTAGCTTACTTCACAATACAATTTTTTTTGTCTTTCCATTTCCTTACAAATGGTACAATATCATTCTTTCTGATGGAAGCATAGAATTCCATTGTGTATATTTACCACATTTTCTTGATTCATTCATTCACTGAGAAGCATCTGGGTTGATCCCTTATTTTGGCTATGGTAAACAATGCTGCAGTGACTATGGTTGTGCTGGTAGCTTTAGTGTGGCCTTGTTTGTGATTTATTGGATAAATGCCCAGGAGTGGAATTGCTGGGTTATAGGGAAGGTCTATGCTTAGTCTTTTGAGGAACCTCCATACTACTTCCCAACCCTCAAAGAAACAAGAACCCAGTTAACAAATGGTCTGAATACTTAAGAATCCTCAGAAAAAGAAGTACTTTTTCTGTGTGTATATTTCTTCATATAGACACATAAATAAATATTCAATACCTTTGGCTATAAAAGAAATGCAAATCAAAACAACATTGAGATTCCACTTTACCCCAGTTAGAATGGCCATTATCAAAAGAACTAACAATAACTGCTGCTGGTGGGGATGTGGCCAAAAGGGAACACTACTATACTGTTGGTGGAAATGCAAACTTGTTCAACCATTTTGGAAAGTGGTATGGAGATTCTTCAAAAGACTAAACATAGAGCTGCCCTATAACCCAGTATTGTTTCTTAACAGGAAAAGATATTTTATAGCTTTTGGAATGAATTTATGAAGTTTGTAACTCAGTTTTAAACTCTGTTTTCAATCATTAGATCCATTGTGGCTCATGGAACTGATAATTTGTGTTATTTTTTTCTAAAATTTTCAGGCGTACAAATCCATTTGGTGAATCTGGAGGAAATACAAAATCTGAAACAGAAGGTATAACAAATGTATACTATTAAATTTTAGAGCTACTCAGGAAACCACAAGATTTGTATTTTCTCTGCTGCTATGCTCAGGTTTTCAGTTTTGCAATTTTTTTTTTTGCAGTTTTTTTAGAGCCATACTCTCAACCTTTTTTTGTTGTTGTTGTCGGTCATGGGTCTTGAACTCTGGGCCTGGGTGTTGTCCCTCAGCTCTTCTGCTCAAGGCTAGCATTCTGCCACTTAAGCCATAGTGCCACTTCCGGATTTCTGGTAGTTTTGGAGGTAAGAGTGTCATAGACTTCCCTTTCTTCCCAGGCTGGCTGAACTGTGATCCTCAGATCTCAGCTTCCTTAGTAGCTAGGATTACAAGTGTGAGCCACTGGTGCCCGGCTCCTAACTCTTTTTTTTTTTTTT